CCCCCGCCCGCCCGATCGAGACTCGAATTGATATTACTGGGATTCAGAGGGGAGTCAAGATGTCTGAAGGCCCCTTTTCCTGATGTGTTATACTAGGAATCGACGATGCTTTTCGGTGCATCGATCGAAACAAAGATGGTTACGGCTTGGATTATCATTCGGTCTACTCTATAAATAATTACATCGATGTTTCACGCGAGCAAACGCGTACTTCTCCTTTTAGCGAATGAGTCTGAGGATGTCAACGATCCCGACGAAAGATCAAATCAACTGAATCTTACTGGCCGATTCACGTCGATACGCTACTCCCCTCGAGAATCGGTGTTCATAGCTCGAAGAAAGTTCTACGATTACAAAGGCTTGAGGCCACGTCGGGCGAAGCTCGTTTTCCTCTTGTTCCAGGCTAGTAATAGCCTGCAAAAACGACAATTTCGCTTTCCCTGAGGTATGCAGAACATGTCTTGGGCGCGATCACCACCGGAATCATTATCTCGTACAATCCGTTGATTCTGCTGTTCGGCAGTTTTAAAAATACCACTTGGCGGCCCGGTTTCCTCGGGTTTGCAGGGTCTATCTGGCCGACAGACCGCCAAGACATTGACTAGCTATCGCTGCACCAAGATCCTGAACGTCGTCGTCTTCAGTATTCATCTTTTCTCTGACTTCCGTCTTCGTTTTCTTTCTTTCTTTTTTTTCTTTTTTTTTAAATATATCATCGACCGTTTCTCTGCTACTCGAACGCTCGTAGTGTTCTGCTCGGCAGACGTCGGAAATTCGTGACGAGATTTATAAATAATCACTCGCAGATCTCTCGTAGATGCATCACCTTTTTCGTGGTTCGCTGGTGAAGATTACGAAGATTTGATCGAAGATGGTGGCGCGGTTAGTTAACAGCGGGCCAATTATAAGCGTCGCTGTCGTAGAATTCCCAAAATACGTTGCGTGATACGGGGACAAGGTCGTGGTGGGAAATCAGCGGGAAAGAGGCACGCCGTTGAGATCTCTGATCTCGAGGAATGTCTGTTGACTTTGGTAGAAAAAATAAATCGCGCGTCTCAGTCACGAGCCATGGCGATCGTAATTGCAACGTTTCAAAACTTTCAGTTCTGCTTTCTACGAAATATAAGGATTAAAGACGATTGGATCTTTTCGAATTTTTTTTTTTTTTTTTTTTTTTTTTCAGATTTTCAGACGCTGGAAGATCAAAGTATAAACTTGGCTTTGGTCGCAGGGAGTTATAGCCAATACGTCGCAAATGTGCCGCGTGTGTTACTATTGGCTCTTAGCAAAAATAGTATTACGTCGAGTAAACACTATTCTCGAAACATTCAGAAACATTGGAATGTTTTGCGTTCCGTGAGATTCTTCGAATTACTTTCATAGCGTCTCGCGATAATGGCGGATAATTGCAATTCTGGGGTTCTCGTGTAACCTGCAGAAAAGTGAAAAACTTTGACATAACAGATAAGCCTTTTACGTTCAAGAGACAGTGAAATCTCGGGATTTAGTACACGTGCCAAATATCAGTTTACATCTCTCTCTCTTTCTCTCGCTGAAAATAAACCAGTTCGATACAATTTCAAAACTGCAGTTGAAATACGTGGATCCTTTAGGGGCACGTCGACAGGAACTCAATCGCGCCATCTGCCGAGATTCCTCAGTTACTAAAACTAAAATTTTGTTCGCGTGAATAATTTTGCTCGTTAAAACTTCGCGTAACGTGGCGAAGCAAGCGCTAAGGAACGTAAATCGTTCGTGTCGATTGAAAATTGAAACGACGGGAACGCGAGAAACGGGGGAAGGGGACGAACTTTTGCGCAACGTAACGTTGACGAAATTCCAGACGGTCTGCTGTTATCGACGGTGGCAGCGAGAGAGCTAAGAGAAGAGATTCGCAGCGAAATGCGCGCTCGCTCGGACAGAGAGGAGCGCCGAAACGACGGGCGCCTTTATATTTAGAAGCCCGGGTCGCCGCCGTATAAGGTGGTGCTTCCCTCGCGAGTGCAAAAGTTCTCGCGTTTGCTCGCTATCTCCTTTCTCCGCTCTCTCCCTGGGTCCTTTCTTATCTCTGTCTACAGCATTGCTCTAAAA